AAGAATTCTCTCAGCTATTGGATATACCCATTCTTGATCAGGTACCCTTCACAGGTCTAGAAGAAGTTCCTAAGCCAGAAGTCATTGCCTTAGCTTTACATCTGAAACGGGCTGACGTGGTATCCAATTGGGAAACGAGAAGCAGAGTCAAGGGTTTTCTAGCTAAGTTTCTGATAGGAAAAGCCCAACTGTTTTGGGATGATATGGATTTTCAGGCTTTTGAGGAGGTCTTGGCTCTTCTTATCTATGGTTTAGTTCTCTTCCCTAATCCTAACTCGTTTGTAGATGTGAATGCTATCAAGATCTTTCTCTCTTGCAACCCGGTGCCTACTTTGCTCAGAGATATTTTGCATACTCTCCATACTCGTACCATGAGGAGAAGAGGGACTCTTATGTGTTGCACGCCATTGCTGTCAAGGTGGTTTATTTCTTACCTCCCTAAGTCCATACTGAAGAATGAAGAAGGTCTGGGTTGGTCACAAAGAATAATGTCACTCGCTCATACGGATATTCTTTGGTGTACTCGATCTATGGAAAACATTGCTATTATTGACCGCTGCGGAGAGTACCCTAATGTCCCACTGTTTCGTATCAGAGGGGGGTATAACCTACAATCCTTGTTTAGCTCTGCGATAATTTGGTCACGCTCGAAGGGATGGTCCCCATGAGTTACTTATCGAGGGTATTGTATTCAACTATAAGGATGATATTCAAGAGTATTGTCAGAGGTTCATACGAGCTTGGGGCATGGTAAACAGATCGGGCGTCAGGGCTTTAGGGCCAAAGACTTCCATTCCAATGGAACCTTATCTACAATGGATACGAGCTCGTGCCCAGCAACTTGTGATTCCCTATGTGTCTGTTTTTCCAGTGATTGTGGAACCCACTACAGAGGAGGGTATTCCTTACATAGTTCTCTATCCTTATATGCCCACGAACCTTGGAGAATTACAGAGATCTTGGATTCAGTTGATGAAGGAGCGGGATACTTACAGGGATCAGTTCCATGCTCAAGAGAGGAAAATTTTAGAGCTCACAAAGCAACTGCATGAAGAAAGAGGACTTGTTGTACCCCAAAATTTCCCCTCTAATTTTACTCAACAAATGTCAAGTGAGGTCCCCAATTTGCTCAAGGTTGCCCAAGAGTTGACCAGACAAACTCTCTCATAAGGCAGTATACCCCAAATTAGGGTTTCTATTTTCATCAATATGGGTGGACCACAAAGGTCTAATATTCTCTCCATGGTATTAATATGTTCTCAAGACCCTACATGTCAAGTTTCATGCCTTGCATAAGAAGTTTGCTCAGTCAACTGCTCAGATGTTTGGGAAATCGACTATATTAGGTCAAAAGTCAATTGTGGCCCACATACAGTCAAACCTCAAGATTTTGGGTCAACATCAACATTTTTAAGTGAATTCCATCATTTTATCTAGGGTTTATCATGATTCCTTAAGGAATGCTCCAAATTCATCAAAACCCAAAAGTTGCTAAATTAGGGTTTCTTAGTAAAAGTTAACCCAACTTTGAACAAGCATAACTTCTTCATACTTTATCAGAAATTTTCCATCCAAGGCTCATTTTGAATAGGATGCAATTCCCTACAATTCATCTTCAGCACTCAAGTTCAAAATATGCACTCATAAATAGATATGAATTTTGACATTATAGGTCCTTTTGAAAAGTCAACAAAAACACCTTTTGGGTCAAAGCTTTATATATGAACATGGAAGATCCAATGGAGATGAAACCAAAATTTTAGTTTAGAGGACATCCTAAGATTTCTAAAAAGTCCAAGAACACCCTCCTATGGTCAAAATTGAGAGAGTTGTGCATTGTCAAAGTTGGCAATTTTTGGAAAATTGTCAAAAGTCAACATTCATCAAATTTGCATTTTTTTCCAAAGGGGCCCATGTTTTCTTGTTTGAAACATGTTTATAATAGGACCCACGACCCCTGAGCTTTTCCACCTATTATTTTATTATTTTTATCATTTATTTTGATTTTTTTATTCATTTAAACCAAAATAAATCAAATTAAATGGTAAAATAATAAAAGCAAATCAAATCTTGGGATTTTTGTGCACATTATGAGTCCATATACATATAACAAGGCATGTAATTCGTGCAAGGATGATTTAGATTGAAAAAGTCATGATTGGAGCTATTTTGGAAAGAAATCATACAAGGCCAAAATCAAATTAAATCTTCATAATTCCTCAAGATACCATGAGATTTCCTCCATTATTTTTTACCTAAATTCCTCCTCAATATAAACACAACACCCTCATACACTAGGGAGCATGAAATTGGCTTCCCAAGAACGCTTTCTAAAAACCTCAAATTCTGTCAAAACTAGTGCAAAGTCAAAACCGAAGATCCAGCCACTTTCAGTCTAAGCCATCAATTACAAATCATTCCTGAGGTATCTAAGGATTCAGTACATCACCATTTCATGCGTCCATCATACGCTCACAAATCCTACCCTTTGGATCATCCCTTGGTCCAGATCCAGCGTCCAACCACAACAACCCATGGTGCACTCTCTGAAGCTAATCCACATGGGATCACACGAAAGGAACATGGGCCAACCAATTTGGGCCTAACAATTTGGCAATGCACCCCCCAGTCTGCATTCTACCACACAGACCCAATCTTTTCTTTTTTTATTTTATTTCAATTCTTTTTATTGTTTTAATTTATTTATTTTATTTATTTTCCAAAAATCATTTTAATCAAAACATAAAAATCAGAAAATCACAAACAATATTAGGTTTAGTCTTTTTTTTCATAAAATATTTAACTGCATTAATTAGTTTAATTAGGTTAACTTAAATCTTTTTTTCATAATTAAAATCAAATAGAAATTAGGTTTAATTCTTAATTTTAATTCCTTCTCAAAATAAAAACACAAAAATACGTTAATTGTTTTTTTTCATTAATTTAATGATTTTTCATAATTAAAACTTAATTAGTGATTAGGATATTTTGCAATTTATTCTTTATTTCCTTAAATAAAAATGACAAAACATGATTTTTTTTTCTTTAATTAAATTCAATTTGATTTTCAAGGGTCAAAACCCTAATTTCTCGCATTTACGTTTGTCGTACGTACTTTTCATTATATTTTTGTAATTGCTCTGAGGTTATAATAGTCTTTTAAATTAGGGTTTTATTTACTGTTTAATTTTCCCCCAAGTTTTGGTTATGTAATCCCCATTCTCCGAAACCTTGTAATAATTAGATTTACTTTTCCGCTTCTAATTTCCGTAATCTTTAACTGTCTAGATGTATGGCTAATAGGATTGTATGGCAAGAATGTATGGAAAATTAAAACGGTAGATCACCTAATGTGCAAAGATTAAATAACTGAAACAAATCATATGCACATATTCACTCCTAGGGTTTACCTCACTTCGGTTGCCTTCAGTAAACAATCATTAAGCATAGGAGATTTTAGTGGTTGCCATCCAGTCTAAAGAGATCAAAGTGTCCCATTTGAATGTTGCGTCGTAAATGTTGCCTTGGAAATGTTGCCTCGAAAAGATCTTAAGACTCTAGGGTTGCTACTAAAGTTTTCTAACTATTGCTTTAGTGATTGTACTTGTACCTTTCGAATGTCCCTTACAACTCCAACGACGATTCTACCTACTCCTTAATAGTAGGATAGTGCTGTCTAAAGGAAATAGAACGAACAATATTTTTTCGAGTAGGTAGAATCTTAAGTACTTGCTCAAAACAAATCTTTTCACACTAACACCTTTTTCAAACAAATTTTCAAAATGAACTTTGTCACATCCTTGAGGACTGATACAAGGGTTATCACGAAGTAGAACTTTTCAAGACAAGCACACACAAGTAATTTGAAAAATGAGCAAGTACCTAAGAGCCCGTAGATAACTACGGATAGAAGGGGTTCTAACACCTTCCTTTTCTATAATCTAACCCCCGTACTCAGAAACATCTCGAAAAAGGTTTTTTCTATTCTTTTTCCTTTTCCTGATTGGATAAAATAAAAGTCGGTGGCGACTCTAGCTTACCTCGACATTTTGCAAAGAAAAAATGCAAACCAGTATAACAGTCGGTTCTGCCAACGTATCACAGGACTGAATGACTATCTTGGCACAAAGAGGAAGCATCCATGGGAATTTTGATGTTTTTTATAGTTTTGGATTTGTTTATTTTTAATTGTAACGCCTAAAAGGCATTTGAACTTCAAATTCAGCTAATAAAGTTTTTGTTTATTTTGGTTTGCAAATCTAAATTGCCCGAAGTCTTTGAAATCATTGTATACGCATCCTATTATCATACACATCATTACAGGTACCATTACAGGTTACTCATCTCCTTCGCTGTTTATTTCAGCAAAAATATCTTCCAAACAAAGCATTAAGGACCTGCAGGCACAAAACGCCCAATTCCTACAAATGTTCATCAGTCTGGCAAAGGGGAAGGAGGATCTGAAAGCCCTCATTCTAAAAGAGAAGAAGAAAAAGAAGAAGGATGTTGGTATTCTGAACATGGGTCGAAGGTTTGGAGAGCGTTTGAAGCGACAAGTCGACCTGACCTCTTCATCTAAGGAAGGGGAGAACCAAGAAGAAGAGAAGGACCCTAGTCCTGCAGTCTCTAACAATGATATTGATTATAACAATGAGCAATATCCTCCTGCTGGGGATAGATACAAGCAGTTAGAAGACCGTCTGAGTGCCATGGAATTTCATAGGATACCTGGATTGGATTTTGAAGAATTGGGTTTGGTGTCGGGAGTGGTCATCCCGCAGAAGTTCAAAGCTCTAGTTTTTGCCAAGTATGATGGGGTGTCCTGCCCAAAGCTCCATCTCCTCTCTTATGTCCGAAATATCCAACCCCACACCGCTGATAGAAATTTATGGGTGCATTTCTTTCAAGATAGTCTGTCAGGGACTCAGCTTGAATGGTTCTACCACCTGGAGGGAGCCAATGTCAAAAACTGGGAAGATCTGGCTGCTGCTTTCTACAAACTATACGAGAAAGCAAAGTGAAATCTCTACTATTACTTGGAAACCACTTTCTATAAGATTTATCTTCTCTTCTTTAATAAGGCTGATTTCTGCATCTATCCTAGCAGCAACAGAAAGGAAGTAAAGTAAGGAAGATAAAAGATAAAGAAGAATCCTAACCAGAAGATAATCGGATCTTTCTCAGAGTAACAAAATGCAAGTCTTTACCTTTGGCTAGATATAGAGTCGAGTGAGGCGAAATGAATTGCGTATATAAATATAGCAAGTAGTTTTTTTTTCGTGAACGTGATTTGTGTGGGGTCAATGTACTTGCCGAAACTCGCTTGGCAGAATAATCTTAGCCAAAGCGAAGAACCGGCTTGACATGCCGCGAATCCTCTGGAAAGAGAGGGGTGGGGTTTCTCTCGCTTTCTCTTTTCCTCCCAAAGTTCTATCCTTATAAGCTTTATACACAAGGCAAGAGCCTTCGGGTATTCTTTTCTTCGGATGATAACGATATGACCAAAAGGGCGAGACCCAGGAGTATTTATGTCTAGGACCTGGTGGAAGGAGCCATCTCCATACTCTCTAGTGGCACGAACTGACCTAAAAATTCTATAGAAGGCATGAAGCTCACGTTCTCGCAATCTGCGGTCAATGCCGGTTGAACTTTGGCAGAGACCTTAACAATAGAACCTCAGAATGGAAACTTTAAACATTGATGGTATATGGAGGATCTGGCCTCACGCAACCAAGGCTTTCCAAGTAGTAAGTTGAAGGAAGTGAGGATATCTATGACATGGAAGGTGGACCAAAAGGTTTGGCGTTTTTCAGGCCTATTTGGACATCGGCAATCAGCCTGCCTCTTGCTGGCCTTATCGAATTCTCATAAGCGGTTATGTACACGGGAGAAGGAGCCAGTGAGTCCTCATAAATGTCAAGGGCGCGCAGCGTGGATAGGGGGGGACCCTTATGTTTTTGTGAAAAAAACTCGGCTCCTGTTATTGCTTAAAAAAAAACCTAATACCTCTATTTGATGTCGATTCATCCATACTTCCATTTTTGAGGGAGGCTGACTGCTTGCCGGCTGGTAGCTGTATGAGCGGTAACGTCCACGTACGGCTCCGTGAGAAGGGCGGTGGGCAGAAATGGCCTTGTTGTACCTCACTCTCGTCTTCAATGGGGTCTGCTCTTTTTTTTTGGGAGAGTATGCCAATATGATCTTAATGAGGTGCGGGGCTTTGCATCTGACATTCGTTGGGCTTCCCTCTTCGGGAGCCTGCGTCCCGGCGTTTTTGTGCAATAAACCCCTCCGGCCGAAGACTAGTGGTAGGTGGTCCCGCGGAGCTTTCGGAGAAGGGTAGCCTAGTGTGTAAGCACCGCAATGAACCGCGGCGAACCCTCAGACGACCTATCTAAGATTAGGGGGGAGATCCTCAGTAGTGGTGACCCTTTAACTCTTCCACGGACTGATACATGTACCGAATGCTCATACGGGAAAGTCGACTCTCGGGTCTGGAACGAAGTCTCCGATAAATCCTTTCTTTATCGTCCACTCAGAGGGGTGCGGACACACCTGCGCAGATTACAGGTGACAGTTACAAGAATGGCGGGGAAGTTAACAGTACCCGACGACATTTAGGGATGGATGTAGACCCATCGGGCGGGGATAATACCGACCTTGCTCCCACTCGTACTCAACTCCAGAGTATGTCCATGGGTGCAAGTGAATGCTTTAAGGATTATACACAAAAATGGAGAGACTTTGCTGGGAGAGTTCAACCCTCATTGTCTGATAGGAAGTTGGTTGATATGTTTCTGGGGACGCTATCTGGTCCATTTTTCAATCATATGATCGGGAGCTCGTCAGCTGGTTTCACAGAGCTGATTCTAACCGGAGAACGAGTAGAAGCTGGGATTCGAAGTGGAAAAATACAGAAGGATGCCTCTTCAAGTTCAGTAAAGAAGCCTTTTGCTGGTAATAAGGAAGCCAGTTTCGTCTATAGCTCGAGGGGCCAGAATAGGGTTGAACCTCGTTAGACAGTAAGTGTCGTGATGATACCTAGACCCGCGGTTTCTCCACAACGCAACAATCAACAAAGGGTGGAAAGACCACAACGGGAGTTTACCCACATCAACATGACATTGGCTGAAGTTCTACCTCATCTGCTGAGATCCAACTTGACAACTCTGAGAGAGGCCCCCAAGAATCCAAATACTACTTCTCCTTGATATAATCTGAATGCCCGGTGTACTTATCATTCTAAGAGTCCTGGCCACGATACAAATGATTGCTGGGATCTGAGGAATAAAATACAAGACTTGATTGAAGCTAAGGAAATAGATTTTGATGCTCTGGAGAAGCCAAATGTCATAACTGCTCCCATGCCTAAACACGATCGTGGAGTTAATGTTGTTGACACTGATTTATTTGTTACCTCTGTTGATGAAGTTTCCACTCCTCTCATGACTATCAAGAAGAATATGTTGTTGACCGGTTTATTTCCGGGTTGTGGTGAAGGTTGCCGCATGTGTTTGTTTCTACCTTCTGGTTACCATTTGCTGAAGTTAGGTGTTCAACGCCTGATAGATAGCAAAGAAATTTTGTTTGAGAAGACTTTGGTTCCCGCTATTCCATCTGAAGACGTTGCTATTATAACCATTTCCGCCAATCCTTCCAAGGTTTCCTCGAGAAGACCTGTTAGGATAACATCTGCTCCAAGAATTGCTCCACTGATAATTCCTATTCCTGGTCCTGTCCCGTATGTCTCAGATAAAGCTTTCCCATGGCATTATGGTGTCGATGTGTACTATCATGGCATCAAACAAGATCTGAAAGATAAAGAGGATGATCCTGATATTGATATCATTGTCGGAACCAACAAAGTCACCCGGAGCGGAAGGGTCTTCTCTCCCGAGATTTCCCCTAAGACTGTTAACAAGCCTATTGTCATTCCATCTTCCGTTCCTGCTAGTACATCAACTAATGTTCCTGTTCTCACTCCAGTTATTACCCCTGTCGACAAATCATCTGATACCCGCGGCAAAGAGGTTGTAGGTGAGGCTGCCCGGATGAAGGCACCTAAGAAAATTGTCGTGGAAGCCTCTAAGCAAGAAATAGAGGAAATACTGAAAATCATAAAGAAGAGCGGCTACAATGTGGTCGAGCAGCTAGGGCAGACCCCATCAAAGATATCCATGTTGTCTCTGCTGTTATATTCTGAAGCCCATGCAAAAGCTTTGATTGCATTTCTCAAGACTATGCATGTGCTACAAGAGACTTCAGCTGATCAGTTTAAAGATTGTGTGGCCAGCCTGACTGCTAATAATAGGCTGGGTTTTTCAATTGCGGATTTGACACCAAAGGGAAGGAATCATAATGATGCTCTGCATGTCTCGATTGAATGCAGGGGCACCACTATAGTTCATGTGCTGGTAGATACTGGGTCTTCACTGAATGTTCTGCCGAAGAAGGCGTTGGACCGTTTGGATTGCAAGGGTCTAACTCTATAGCCTAGTAACATTGTGGTAAGGGCTTTTGACGGACCGAAGAGAACGGTGCACGGGGAGGTGGACATCCCTGTCAAAGTGGATTCTCAGACTTTTGGATCCACCTTCTATGTGATGGATATCAGGCCGTCGTATTCTTGTTTGATGGGTCGTCCTTGGATCCACGAGGTTGGGGCAGTTACTTCCACACTCCACCAAATGCTGAAGTATCTGGTAAAAGGGAAGATCGTCACAGTGCGGGGTGAATAAGAATATACGGTGAGTCACCTTAACTCCTTCCGCTACGTAGAGATGGACGGGGAATTCATAGAAACTCCTTGTCAGAATTTTGAAGAGGTCCCTCAGATCTTGGCATCAACTGAAACTACTAGTAATGAACCTCCTTTGAAGATGGCTTCTCTCAAGGACGCCAGGGTCGTGGTTGAAGAAGGTGGGTGTGCCAATTGGGGTCAGCTCCTTGATTTCATTCATAAGACTGACAAATTTGGTTTAGGCTTTACTAAAGGTGCTCAAAGGACTGTTAGACATGCTCGGGCTGGAGGACCTCCCATACGCATCAGCAATCGTGGGATTAACGCCATTGAATACAGTGAAGAGAAATCAGACATTGACAACTGGATCTACCCAACTACCAACGGTGGACCGAGTAACTGGACGGCTAGGGACTTCATACTTGTTTCTTTTATTCCGCAGTAATTGACCTATTTGTTTTAAGATTTGTAATATATAGTTTGAAACTTTGCGGCCCGGTGCCTTGCCCGAGGCACATTGGCTTTGCTTGTGAGGGCTATTATTTGTCATTTCATAATCATTAATAAAGTATTGGACGTTTCTTGCATATAAATTTTGCGCTCTCTGTTTTTCTTTCTTGTTTTCACTTTATCAAAACAGCTATTCTCTTACACACACACTCACGTATCGTAATGCAGATCCATATCCATTATGCATTCTACCACACAAGCCCAATATTTTCTTTTTTATTTTATTTCAATTCTTTTTATTGTTTTAATTTATTTATTTTATTTATTTTCCAAAAATCATTTTAATCAAAACATAAAAATCAGAAAATCACAAACAATATTAGTTTTAGTCTTTTTTTTCATAAAACATGTAATTGCATTAATTAGTTTAATTAGGTTAACTTAAATCTTTTTTTCATCATTAAAATCAAATAGAAATTAGGTTTAATTCTTAATTTTAATTCCTTCTCAAAATAAAAACACAAAAAATAGGTTAATTGTTTTTTTTTCCATTAATTTAATGATATTTCATAATTAGTGATTAGGATATTTTGCAATTTATTCTTTATTTCCTTAAATAAAAATGACAAAAAATGATTTTTTTTCTTTAATTAAATTCAATTTGGTTTTCAAGGGTCAAAACCCTAATTTCTCGCATTTACGTTTGTCGTACGTACTTTTCATTATATTTTTGTAATTGCTCCGAGGTTGTAATAGTCTTTAAAACTAGGGTTTTATTTACTGTTTAATTTCCCCCCAAGTTTTGGTTATGTAATCCCATTCCCCGAAGCCTTGTAATAATTAGATTTACTTTTCCGCTTTTAATTTCTGCGATCTTTAACTGTCTAGATGTATGGCTAATAGGATTTTATGGCAAGAATGTATGGAAAATTAAAACGGTAGATCACCTAATGTGCAAAGATTAAATAACTGAAACAAATCATATGCACATATTCACTCCTAGGGTTTACCTCACTTTGGTTGCCTTTGGTAAACAATCATTAAGCATAGGAGATTTTAGTGGTTGCCCTCCATTCTAAAGAGATCAAAGTGTCCCATTCGAATGTTTCTTCGGAAATTTTGCCTCGGAAATTTTTCCTCCGAAAGATCTTAAGACTCTAGGGTTGCTACTAAAATTTTCTAACTATTGCTTTAGTGATTGTACTTGTCCCTTTCGAATGTTCCTTACAACTCCAACGACGGTGTTACCTACTCCTTAATAGTAGGATAGCGCTGTCTAAAGGAAATATAACGAACAATCTTTTTTCGAGTAGGTAGAATCTTAAGTACTTGCTCAAAACAAATCTTTTCACACTAACACCTTTTTCAAACAAAGTTTCAAAACAAACTTCGTCACATCCTTGAGGACTGATACAAGGGTTATCACGAAGTAAAACTTTTCAAGACAAGCACACACAAGCAATTTGAAAAATGAGCAAGTACCTAAGAGCCTGTAGATAACTACGGATAGAAGGGGTGCTAACACCTTACCTTTCTATAATCTACCCCTCGTACTCAGAAACATCTCGAAAAAGGTTTTTTCTGTTCTTTTTCCTTTTCCTGATTGGATAAAATAAAAGTCGGTGGCGACTCTAGCTTACCGCGACATTTTGAGAACAAAAAAAGCAAACCAGTATAACAGTCGGTTCTGCCACCGTATCACAGAACTGGCGAATCTGCTGGGGAAATATTCTATAAAGTGGGGTATACCTTAGGATTTAGATCATTTTAAAATTGCTTCTCTTGATTGTCTTGATTACTTTAATTTTGAGGGTTTGTTCGGGGTTACTATAGATCCTACACCCGGATTTGGGGAACAATTTTTAGGTAAGTAGCAATAAACTGTGAGGGAAATATGCTGGGGTATACCGGCACGGTTGAAGCAGTAGCTACGTTGATGTAGAACTTTGGTTGGTATGGGTAACCCTTGAGTCAATCAGGGAGAGTACGGGGTCGCCGCGTGGTGTCATGAAGCATCAACTGACCTTAGAACCTTTAATTGCACAACTTGGCCAATAGGACGTAGCGAGGTGGCCGGCTTTGGTGTATTCCCAAGGTCGACAGATACTCGATGCTACACTCATTGAGGTCTGACTCTTGAGCTTTGTTTGGTTGTGAGTCAATCGCCTATTGAACGAAGCTGGGAGAAAGATCAGTGATATTGAGATCCCTTTTAGAACCAGGTTACTATTTATAGGACAGGTTTAACCAATCCAACTTCAAGAGGGTATGACCTTAAAACTCATGCAAGCCTTAAACCTAAGGACTTGATGTGACTTGTTTGTTGTTTGCTATACCTGTGATTTTCTAACCTAATCATGACATCATAAGCATGCAATATCATGACTAACCATTTCAAGGATTCCCTAGGGCTCATTTTTGCTCTAT